GTTCGGCATGATTCTGGCTATTGCGTTGATGGCCTTCGCCGCCTTCTCGCACGCATATTCGATGTGGCTGTTAAAGTTCAGCCGGTCGTCGATCATCACTCCCAGATACCTCAGCACGCGCTTCGAAACAATGGTGTGCTCTCCAACGGTGATTTCTGCCCGCTGCACTGCTTTACAGTTACTGATCAACATCACTTTTGTTTAGTGGTGGGTTATCTGCAGCTTCACTCCTTACATCCAGTTGCCAATCGTATCTATCGCCTTGGCCGCCAGCATTTCCACTTCTTCCAGGGACTCACCTGTTATGCTGGGTCTAGACTAGGCAAGTCAAATGATCAACTCAGTTGAATTCAATTGGCTAAAAGTTGAGCCTGGTTCAACTTTTTTAAATTCAAGTGAGTTGATCAAGTCAGTTGAATGGTATGGTTTCCCAAGCAACACCATTTGTTGCTCAGCGAGTAACAACAACCTTAGTGTGACTTAATGAAGGTCCAAATTATGGACAACGCATCGCATATAAAACTTCATTGTACCTTAAAAAGCGCAGAAGGTGGAGTCTCTTTGCAACTTATGATTGTTGCAAAAGATGTTGCAATTCCGTTGCAAGTAACATGATATTTTGATTACAAAAGTTGCAAATGAGGTTTAGACTGACTTAACTGAAATGTTCTACTGAAGTGTTTAAAACAGTACAGTGATGTTTTCTAATACTTATGATTGATATTCCTGTTTACCAAATAAATGCATTGAAATATTTTTGAGTGGAAATACGGAAAAGGAACACTAGTGTTTTTATCTGGACTGAAAAATCGTCCACAGAGTTGTCAATCATAGCAAAAGTCTTTTGAATAACCATATACAATAATTGACTTTAAAAAACTTCTATCTAGTCCGTATTTTCAAACACATCAAGTTTTATGGTGAAATGTAACATGTTACTCCAATTAAATAAACGCGCCTTCTGAAAATTTACAAATTGATGCCACAAATTTGCAGCTCAAAAATGTATCGAAATAAAATATTGCTCACCGCAAAAAGCAAATAACTCCAATCTAATGGAAAACATTATAACTGCAATAATTGATTCATGTTTTATGTGAATATGGTGTGAAACATGCATAAATTGAATAAAAAATTCATTATATTTTATTTTTGGTGGATAACATATGGCTGCCAGTCTCACCAACTGTGTACATAGCGGGTCAAAATTTTCAGTACATGCATGTATGGCAGTAATTTATTAATGTTTTAAAATTTATCTGTTTGTGTGTGTGTATGTGTGCATGTGTGTAAGTGGGTGGGGGACTCTGAGAGAAACTTTGATATCAATTATTGTAGGAAATTTTTGGTAATCTTGTAATCTCATGACATGATCAAGTGGCTGTTTTGAATGTATCACTGTATTGTGCAGCGTGACATAGTAGCAATGATTTTTGTTCTATTTCACGAGCCCAAAACACCAATGTTGCCTGCTGAGCAGTTTATTTAGCATTATCATAAGACACAGACAAGAAGACATGGTCTCATAAAATGGTATCGAATAGTTTTGGAATAAAATTCCATCCATAAAACAGCTATTTTGGAATCAGTCAACTAACTCCGGAGATATAACCAAAATATGTTCCGAAAAATACAAATGTTGGGAATGTTGTTGTTTTTTGACAATATTGAACAAAAATGGACGCGTAAGCCACAAACCATTTGCGGAATAGTTTACCCATCCAGGATACAGTTCGTTTATGAAATTTGTAGACGGAACAAAAAAAAACACTGATTTTCATATAAAACTGCGCTATTGGAAAATCCTTTAAAACGTACACACCAAAAATCTGAATCGAGTTCCAGTAAATTGCTGATCTGCTTCCAGCAAAAGTAGTTTTTACTGACCAACCAGCAATCTAAAAATTTTTGCTGGAAGCTCAGTAATATGCATGATCTGTAAAATATGGGATCATTTTTATGTTTCACATTCCCACGGCATTTTTTTTTTAGAATTAAGAAGTTCATTTTTAACAGTATTATATTGCTCATGCTTGAGAAATTCACTACGAACCAGTAAGTAAGTGCAATAAGATTATCACTACGTGAATTAAACTAGGTTTTTTTTTTTATTTTGATTTAAGCTAAAATCCTTGCGAGAAGTACTTCTGAATCTTTGAAATGTGTTATTACACAGATAAAAATTCTGAATTTTAATTGTGATGTAAACATTCATTCACGTAAACTTGTATTTCATTTCATGCAACCAAGCAACTTGTAAACAATATTGTTTACAAATATGGTCTTTTGTATACAATATTTGCTACATGGCATGAAATGTCTCAGAACATTACATGATTTATAATGTAAACTTATATGGTATGTGACGCTCCATTTATGTGCATCATATTGAACAGAAATTTACACTACTTTTTCGAACTGTGTACAATGTGAAAAAGCACATGGATTATTGTTCCATAAAGCAATTGTAATAAAAATAGGACTTACCGAACTATACATATACCTAGATTATATTTATATTTAACTCTTAATTTGAAACAATCTATAGAAAAACAAATTAAATTGCTGGTGATACAGTAAAATATATAATATGCAGTTTTACTGAACAAACCAGTGAACTATTGCTGGTTTTGCAGCAATGAGCTGTCAAATGAGCTGCAAGATGTTTTGCTGGAAGGATTGCTGAATTTCCAGCTCGGCAAAGTCCAGCAAACGTTTGCTGGTCTACGGCAATAAAAATAAGTGTGTATATTTTTTTCTAGGTGGTAACTTACACATAACTTTCATTTGATTTTTCAAAGCCATCCAATGAATTTTATTGGATTTCACCTATACAGATTACGTGAAATATTGATTCAGTCTATGGTTCCATAGAACGCTTTTGAATTGTTCTGGAAACGATCATCTTTTTTTCTTTTTTTTTCATGCAAACCCATTAATGGGTAAAAAATACCCATTTTCAAACCATGTATGCAGCTGTCAAAAATAAGGGGAATTTGGAAATCATAAAATTGGAGAAAAAATACCCAATCGTTATGCATTGTTTACATTTGGCCCATATACGCTTCCTGAGATGAACCAGCCTAAGGCTGAAATAAATTTAAAAAGAAACATAAGCCCTTTCACAGGTTCGGCTGGAAGTGAATGAATTTATTAAAAAAATCTAATGATCCATTAACAATTATTTACTTATTTAGAAGCAACTAAATAAATAAATAAACAAGCTTATATTGCACCAACCACACAGTTCGAAAAAGTAGTGTAAATTTCTGTTTAGTATGATGCACATAAATGGAGCGTCACATATCATATAAGTTTACATTACATATCATGTAAAGTACTGAGACATTTCATGCAATGTAGCAAATATTGTATACAAAAGTCCATCTTTGTAAACAACATTGTTTACAAGTTGCTCGGTTGCGTGAAATGAAATACAAGTTTACGTGATGGAATGCTTACATCACAATTAAAATTCAGAACTTTTATCTGTGCATATATTAAATAAATTAAAGACCAATTAATAGCATAACTAACTCAAAAGTTCTATAAGTTGATAAGTTCTTCCATTAATAACTACAGTCAACCCTCTACTAACTCGATATCGAGTTAGAGAGCCATAGTTGTGGAGAGTTCATTTTAAATAAATAAATTTGCATACAAACAAAATAAACGGATAATTACCCAAGTAATCAACAAGCCCGCTAATCGCCCTCTTTGTAATATAACGCTGATAGACGGCTGATATAAAATTTTAAAACCCTATAAAATTGTTATATTGCAAAAAAAAGCGATTAGAAAGCTATTATTGGGCTTGGTGGTTACTTGGGTAAATTAAATCTGTTATATTTTTTGTGATAACATATTACAGGTTATTTCTGCAGTTTTACAACACAACACAAATAACCTGTTATAATGTAACATTTTATTGTTTGTAATATTATTTGACTGCTTTATCCTGATAATTAAGGGCTCTCCCCCCATAAGCGCGAACCATAACATAAACCTTACCTAAAATGGTTAAAATTGTTTATAATCCCTGCTAAACTTCAACTGAAATGGTTATGGAACTTTACATGAACGTTTAATGATAAAGTTTTAACCTTAAGTATTATTGTTTTTTGGAAGTGGACCTTACAAATAATGGGTTGTTAAGAACCATTACCATTCAAAATTCTTGTTTTCTCCATACATTTTCGGAAAGAAAACTATACTAAAACCTTTTAACTTATGGTTTGAGAACATTAATGGTAATGGTTATGGTAACCAGTAAGGTCCATAAATGGTTTTGTAACATCGATCAACTTTATGTGGAATATATCGCGAATTGGTTGCCTGTAAATTACTGATTACCAATTCACGATATATTTCACGTAAAGTTGAGTGATAATACAAAACCATTAATGGACCTTACTGACTACCATAACCATAACCATTAATGTTCTCAAACCATAAGTAAAAACGTTCTAATATAGTTCTCTTTCCGAAAATGTATGGAGAAAACAAGAATTTGGAATGGTAATGGTTCTTAACAACCCATTATTTGTAAGGTCCACTTCCAAAAAACCATAATACATAAGGTTAAAACTTTATCACACAAACGTTCATGTAAAGTTCCATAACCATTTCAGTTGAAGTTTAGCAGGGATTATAAACAATTTATAACCATTATCGGTAAGGTCATGTGATGGTTCGCGTTTATGCGGGTCTTCTTCGATTTATATTTCGGTAGGCAAAATAAATTGATCGGCAGTGTACATTTCAATCCAGAAAATGCATGTTGCACTACAGTATACAAACGACACAGGAGCTACTGTCATGCAACAATAAATTTAATGTTTTAGCAGTCTTATAAACATATCATCGCTGTGACTTTTCTGGAACGTTCCGATGACATTGTTGTGACAAGATATATATTGACGTCTGGATGCAACAAATAATATGTTCACAAAAAATCAGAAGTAGTCTAATAGAGAAGTCAGAATCAAGTGCTCGCAAAAATGCCGTTTTCGATCGTACAAACGCGAAAAAATAAACGCGCCAGGCCAACGATGACCATCGTACCGAATACCTGGGTCAAGAACAATTCGGTTTATTGGCCCATGTCCAATTTGTTGACTTTATCCGCTGACGAAAATTCCGAACCAGATATGGCGTCGTGGTCTCTCCAGAAGTGCAAAGTAGTTGGCCGGGGTTCAACGTATGCGGATGCCGAAAACGTCATGAGAATACTGGAAGCGGTAACGGATTCCGAGGATACAGTGGAGATCAGTCGTGGGACTCGTGCGACTCCCGGGACAAAAAAACCAAAATTCAACTCCAAAGTTTACCAGCTAGCTCCTGCTAAGCATCAATTGCAGGTTAGAACAAAAATGCTTGTTTTTTTACGCTTTGATAGATCATAATGATACGAGGGCGGGTATGTGATCGACAGTTCGATAGTTCGATTTCTAAATTCATCACCCTCAGGATTCAAGCTTCCAGAGCCTACAGCACTCTGCCTGATCGAAAGTAATGACTTTTCAAAGACCAAAGATATTATTTTGGATCAAGCAGAGCGATTCCAGTTCTGGAAGCGTGAAAGTAACAAAGTTAGGAACCGGACCGTACTTCGTGTTACTAAAAAATTAACAAACATTTACATTCCAGACACATGTCGAGACAACCTTCAGCAGCAGTAGTAGTGGACAAAATTTCTCAAGCGTTAACTCCATGAAATCCCTGTCGAAAAGTCCAGCACATATCAAGTCGCAGCCTGAAACATCCAACAACAGCTCTAATATTCGGCCACTTCCGTCAGCTGCAGGGAACGTACCGATTTCTACGATTTCCGGTCCTTCTCAACTGAATTTTGCCGGTGAAGCCACTTTAAATCAGGTAAATTTTAATATTATTTCTGTTGGTATTGCTGAATGCATTTGATACTGGACTGCCCCAACAATACAAAAAGTGTGGTATCGTTTTGGTGTCTTCGGAGTACTTATAATTGCATCATGAGGAATAAGTACACCACAGACACCAATACGATTGTACGGAAACTCGCATTTTTTAATAAGTGAAAACGCGCTTATTTGTTCAGTTTGGTGTGCAATGCGCAATATTTCTAAATTTTGTAAGGTGACATACACAAATCCCCTGATTTGCGCAGTGGGTAGTGCCGTCCACCCAACGCCATTGATCAGTAGTCTTACGACCAATTGAACTAATTTTCTCTATGGATAAGCTTATGGTTGATCCTAATCACATGCAAAAAACAACAGTTTAATTGGTTACACAATTATTAGAAATTTCGGTGGGTGGACGACACCACCCGACGCGTACATCGGGGAATTCCTGTGTATATAATCATATTAAGCAATAGCAATAACTGAATGTGGACATTAACAATGCATAGGGGGAGGAGGGGCATACTGAACAGGTGGGGCATAGTGAGCATCCCGGAGTTTGGCCCTGGATCTCTAGCTGCATGAAACAAAACAACTGGCAGTCGGTTCAATATCATTATGATATTGATTCTACCACCAACCAATTTGTTCCGAACGGCCGGAAGTCCAAGCTGGTGCACGGGATGCTCACTATGCCCCTCTTACCCCTATATATACAATTGAACGATGGCGATTATTTCTGCTTTTCCGTATGTAATTCCGATGAAAGTCTCAAATCTTGATTTTAGATTATTTGCTGGTGTTGTGAGTTTCGTTCCATCAGTTACGGATTCCAATAGAGCGATTTCGAACACTTCAGCTCGATTTTACTTTAGTGCTGTTAGAACGAAGCCAAAGCCCCTCCAAGGTGGATTGTTTTCTTTATTTTTCTAAATATATAACAATTTATTAAAAGCACACAAATCTTCACTGCACTTCAATGCCATAATATGCTGTTTCGACGAGAGTGTGGTTTATTTTACACCTTCATAGTAAATGCTTCATCACGGCATGCACATCATGATATGAATATCAGAAAGGGTGATTCTTCTCCAACAAGGCGATGGTATTAGCTTGCGTAGGAGTTGACGTTTGAATCTTTGTCTACGAAACCAGATTCCTCCCTTTGAAAAAGTTATCGAGGTATCTTTAACCATTTCCACTTAAGGATTTCAAACATTTCCAATCCGTAAAATGTCGTTCGGGACACTGGGGATTATTTATTCTTCTCATGTCACTTATTACATTCAGGTTTCCTGGGCATTCAATCAGCTTCGCAAAATAATTTGATGATAAAGTCTCCTACGCACTGAAGTAAAAATGAAAACAAACAGAAATACAAACATAGAGACAGTGTCGTGTATACAGGGTACGGCAAATGTGCTCCATTGGGATTGGGTTCGCAAACAGTTATAATATTTTGTTAGTATATAATACGCTCACGCACTTCAGTGTAATGATATTTTTAATATGCCACAACCTATGCTCTTACGATTTTATGACGTCACTCCAAGTCACTTCGGGAATTTTTATTTTTTGTAATCTCTAACACTGCTAAAGTACCACAACTGCCGCACCTATATATATATATATATAGATTAGTTAGAACACGCTATTTCTAAACAAACCAAATTTGAGTTGGATCTATTGATATCCGTCAAAAGCAGGGCTACCCAAAATTGAGTAAACAAAGTTGGAACTGATACGATGACAAATGAGCAACATCGTTTGGATTCAGGTCGATGTTGTATATTCGTCATCTTGTCAGTCCCAACTTTGTTTCCTCAATTTTGGGTAAACCTACTTTTGACGGATATTAGTAGATTCTACTCAAATTTGGGTTGTTTATAAATAGCGTGATCCTCACTTTCGAACCGTCAATACTCGACTTGGACTTTATCCATGAAGCACATCTGCTGGTACCTGTGCAATGAACTGGATTACCGAGGTGAAGCAATCGATTTTGTTAAGGGAGGGAAAGCACTGTACGATACAAAGAAATAGTGACGTAACTAATTGCGTATAGGTTTTTGTTTTTGTTTACCAAGGCTGGAAAATTTCCATATAAACTTGTTATTATTTATGACCGACCATTAATCCATTTTGTCAAATTTAAGTTAAAATTCACCAAAAGGAACACAGCATTAACAAAAATATTTCATGATCTGCGCCACCTCTCTTTGTATCTCATTGGACCCTGTATACATGGCAGTGTTTCTGAATGACGTTTTTATCCGTTTGTTTTCATTTTCACAGCAGTACGTATAAAGACTTCCTCGGCAGTTCTAGATAAACATTTCAAAAGGTCCTATCTGATTTGATCGATTCTCTTCGTCGACTTTCTCTTTTGATAACCACGGCTATGCAAACTGATTTCGTGCTATTATTACCACTTAGTTTGATAAAGAAGGTTCTTATTGAGCACCCAAAATGTTTTTGCAGATGAGTTATTAACGAAAGAGAAAGTCGATGAAGAGAATCGATCAATGCAGATAGGATCCCTTGAAATGTTCATCTAGAGTTTCAATGCACGAAGCTGATTTAATCTTGGATTTAATATCATGAAATCTATAAAAACAAATAAATAAGTGAAACAATAATCAAAGTACAGGCAAAATCGATTTGATACACCCTGGAGAGTTGCAACGAAAGTGACGAATAACTGACGAGGCACGGAAGTTTAGCATATTTTTTTGTAGGGATTTTGGCGGGAGGTCTCATTACAGAGACAGAACTTTCTCCAACTTGATTTATTAGGGACAATCGTATAATTGTCGCCGTATGTGGCACCAATCACCGAGCTATTCGGGGGAGTCCTGTATTTATCTATTTTGCTGATTTGCATTTTATGAAGCAAACGATGATCATGAATTTTATCTTTTTACAGATGATGATTCGACCATTGATTGTTCAGTCTGGGGATGGTAAGCAGTACCTCCAGCTACAGAATGGCACATATCGGATGCTTAGCGAATTCGACGAAGAAATTGAAAACCTCAATACCAACGGTGAGCAAGAGAATCTTGGCTTCGTCCAGCAGGTGAATCCAGCTCCTGTCAGTGCTGCGAATGCCAAAAACTTTCCGACCATTACAGAAGAATCAAATGATAGTTATCTGAACGGAAACATCGAGAGCTATCCCGTCGTTTACGATGATGAAACTCCATCGGATGAAATGGGTGATACACAATCGGATGAAATCGCTGAAAGATTGGATAGAATTGAAAAGAACCTAAACAAAATTCTTTTCTTCGTGGCTGACATTGAAAAGTATTTCAAAATGAAGCAGCAAGAATCGAAGACTCATGAGGAAAAGCAGCCAAAACAAAAGCGAAGTACTGAAGATTTCTCCGAATTCAAAGCGATTCTTCCAATTAAAACGGTTCAAGATCTGATGTCCATTGAATCTAAGCTGGAAATCCAATCTTTTTCCGAAAAATTGTACCAGTATTTCGAAGTAATGTACAATCTTAATGGGAAACGCGAAGGACATTCATTCTTTCGCAATCTGATCAGGAAAATGATCGACATATCGGTATTGATGCCCTTTTCGTGGTTAGGTAACACACGGTCCAAAAATGGTGAACCCCCTGTGGAACAAAACCGGAATTTCAAACGGACGTTTCCACGATTGATTAACTTCATCGGAAGTGTACTACGCGCCGCTGACTTTGAATATACAATCGAAGACACCGAGAAAGCATTCAGTGATTTCCTTCGTCATAAGAATACCGAAATGAAACGCCATATCAATCAGGGTGGACAGCGGCGAGTATCACATACCCGCAAAAAGCGACGACTGACTGATATTCCTTCCGATATGGCCGACCGTGATGATTATAACGATGCAGGATTGGACAGCATCTCCGAGAACTATGAAGAGGCTTAGAATTGAGAGGGTTGCCAGAAAGCATGAATGAACGCTTTTCTCTTTCACTTTTTTTTTTATTTGTTGATTAATTTTTTATTGAAGTTTGAAAACTGATCTGCACGAAAACCAAAACGAACACTCATGTTAAATTTTAAGTTTTGATGCAAAAATGTTGCATTTTATTTGACAAATATTATACGTTAATAAAATCTGAAATAATGAATATAGAATCCCGTGGTTTTATTTTATCACACTAAATTTACTCTTCGATTTAAAGTAAAACGTAAAGCTCGCGAAAACTGATAGAGCTACAATACTAACCAACAATTGCGGCACAACGCTGAGATGTCAACCTAAAAAAGTTCAGATGCACTATATCCCAACAGTTCAAATACCATTTAGATCTGAGGTGCCTGAGAGAGAACAGTCAAGTTCGGAACTGACTCACTAGGTGGTGCCAATTTGAAAACTATATTATTTTATTTAAATGTCAGGCCCATGGCCAGATAAAACAACCCGGTCTTTGGCAAAGTTTCTTAGATGTACATAACCTATCTGGAAGTGTACTGTTTAGTTCTGAACTGACTCACTAAGTGGCGCCGTCTTGAAAAGAATGTTCATTAATTGATATCTCAGGTTCATTCCCAAGTAACATTGTTAGTTTTATCGAAGATTTAAAGCATTCTACAAGTCTGAATCATGGTCTACAGAACCTCCATAAAACCAAAAATGTTAGTTGTCACATTTATAGTTTATTTTTTGATAAAGTTGCTCAGCTCGCTATAATCTACCTAGCAATGCACTTCTCAGCTCGAAACTGATTCACTAGGTGGCGTTAGCGTGATTTATCTGCTTTATCGTGTATCGATTTTATTTTACGGCAAGGAAAATGATCAAGTGTTCCCCGTCTGCTTGTCTATAATTAGGGTAATATTAAAACAAAATGTTAAGTTTGACTTATTGGTACCAATTTTAATTTATTTTAAGGTGTGAATGAGTGGCAAAAATACAGACTTAGGCATGTTTCTATCTTGGCAATCTATCTTAACCATTTTGCAGAGAATATTGTCAAAACTGAACATTTTATGAGGATCTTTCTCTAAATTAGATCCGTAGATATGCAATAATGACGACAGCACTGGTTTGACAAAGAAATCCGAAAGATTTTTCAACGGGTAACCAAATAAATGGAAAGAGTTTTGTTCAGTGTTATGAACAATATACTGAGTGGATACAATTTGGAAGTCTGACGTTAAAACCCACTTATCTGCTAAAGATTCTGTATCCAGGCAGAAATCACCGAGATTTACGTATGCGTAAATTTCACATTCACTCTTTTTGATAAAACAATGCAAATAATCATGGTCGTCATTATTCAATACAAATTTCTTTTTTAGAGTAGGTGCCTGTGATTGCTTCGGCCGTTTAAAATTTGCAAAATTAGATTGCATCTCAATAATTCTTCGAGATACTTGCGACAGAGGAAGGTTACCACTTCTTATCATTCTTTTCAAAGTAAAAAGCTTGGATTCGAATGGATAAGCGTCGAAAGAATCCAGCGGACCGAATCGTGTAACATCATCAATCAGATGTGTTAGATTATGCATGTTGCTGCTAAAAAGCTGTGTTCCGTACAATATTTTTACACCATTTAAGAAATCATCGATAAGGGCCTTAGCGACAGTATAATTTTCCGGTGATTGATCGTGTCTTGAGCAAATTTGAACTGCGCAAAAGAAATTTAGAAAGTGATCTGAAATTTCCTGTGATTCAAAAAACTTTTTGAGAACTACTGGACTTAGATATAGTAAGAAGGTCCTAAACTCAGTACCTTTCCAACGAGATAAATGTTCGAGACCCCGAGCTGGTCGTCGCATTTCACGGGGAAGTTTAGAAGATTGTAAAAACTGTGACACATTTTCAATCTGTTTTGCTGACCACTTGGCGTTAAGGTTGTTCAATGTGCCATTTTTCCAGCCATTTAGCAATCGCTTGGTGATCCCAAGATCAATCAAGTGTAAGCCATCTCCAATTGGAAAATCTTGAATCATGTCTAATCCATGGATGGACTCCAGTATACTGTCATATTTATGATGATCTTCATATTGACGAGAGCGAAATCCTTCGTCGGTTCTAAGGGGAGCATTGATTTGTGGAAATATCATTGTTTTGGCCGTACTCGAGTATTCGCCTTCGGTCACGCACTTTAAGCATGAGTTGTATCCATTATGACCAATTACACCTAAAATGGAAAATAATGAGGTCAAACAAAAAGGCTGCAAATATGTGTGCGTGTGTACGCGTGCATGTGTGTGTGTGTGTGTGTGTGTGTGTGTGTGTGTGTGTGTGTGTGTGTGTGTGTGTGTGTGTGTGTGTGTGTGTGTGTGTGTGTGTGTGTGTGTCTGTCTGTCTGTGTGTGTGTGTGTGTCTGTCTGTGTGTGTGTGTGTGTGTGTGTGTGTGTGTGTGTGTGTGTGTGTGTGTGTGTGTGTGTGTGTGTGTGTGTGTGTGTGTGTGTGTGTGTGTGTCTGTCTGTCTGTGTGTGTGTGTGTGTCTGTCTGTGTGTGTGTGTGTGTGTGTGTGTGTGTGTGTGTGTGTGTGTGTGTGTGTGTGTGTGTGTGTGTGTGTGTGTGTGTGTGTGCGTGTGTGTGTGTGTGTGTGTGTGTGTGTGTGTGTGTGTGTGTGTGTGTGTGTGTGTGTGTGTGTCTGTGTGTCTGTGTGTGTGTGTGTGTGTGTGTGTGTGTGTGTGTGTGTGTGTGTGTGTGTGTGTGTGTGTGTCTGTGTCTGTCTGTCTGTGTTGTGTGTGTGTGTGTGTGTGTGTGTGTGTGTGTGTGTGTGTGTGTGTGTGTGTGTGTGTGTGTGTGTGCGTGTGTGTTTGTGTGTTTGTGTGTGTGTGTGTGTGTGAGAGAGAGAGAGAGAGTATGTGTACTACCTCTTAACATTGATCGAGCTGGGGTATCGCAAATGAAACAGCGCAACTTAATCGTTATTTGTTTATCGTCAATTAGGATACCGTTTAGAAGCACGTCGTTCAATTCTGATACGAATGGTTGCAAAAATGCATTTACATCCTACGGTTTGTCTGGAAATAAATAGTCGTATTACTTTGACCCCAAAAATAATTTCTAGTATTATCTTACACAACCCACAAAAAATGCCCACTACTAATGGTGGCAAAAGATCTTTTAGCTCCTGTATACTTATCAAAATTGGCCACAATGATTGAGATGAGCTTTTAAAAGCTGGTAGCCCATCAATATTCACATTTAGTGAGACTTCGGATGGTTTATTGGTAACTGTAGATAAAGCTTCCGTAACCGATCTTTTCAAACCGTAGTGCCAATAATTTCCTCCGCCATTTTCATTCGAGCAAATTATTGTTGATCGAGGTGTCTGTACCAATGTTCTAGCATCCTTTGGCAGTACATTGTTGGGAATAAAGCATTTTAGAATGACAAGTAGCGAGTTAATTGCGGCATGCTTTACTTGGTGCGTTATTGCCCAATCTCTGAGCTCATTGCACAGTTCATGTTGGTCAGATGTGTTGTCAGTTTCATCTTCACTTTCACTGCTGTTACCCACTTCCTCCTCAATTAAAGGGCTCACCAACTCTGCTGCAGTTTTCGGTGTACAGCTTGGATTATTATTTGTATAGCCTTCTGCAGATTCACTCTTCTCAACACTTGTTTTTAACAATTTTCGTTTTTGGCTTGCAAAGTGACCGTTTCGTTTTATTTTCCGCCATAATTCTCGATCAGAATCATCCATTTTCAAACTCACAGCAACTTCAGAAATTTTCAGACATGTAGATCTGCTTTGTTTGACAGTATAATCTCTTCTGATTGAAATTTGCATTGAACACATGAAAAAGACTTCTTACAGATTATTACATCAATAGGTTTTTTAAAAGTAATTTTACGATTTAAACAACAAACAGATACCTGTAACCTTATTGTAACATACTTAACAAGAAGACACGTGAAATCTTACTGCAACATAATGAAATGATTGTGAAAACGCAGATTGCAAATAGATTCTTCGACACATCTTGGTTCGTCAACTTTTTAGTAACGTCTCGAAAAAGTTGCGCACTAGGTGCAAAAACATAAAGTTCACACTTTGTTACGCTACAATCACAAGAAACATAATGTTTTATTAAACTCTTATACAACAAAAGCAACACAAGTTAGATTTGTTGCTCAAGTGTTTCACACAATACCACGTAGCATATGACTTCATACCAATTTGATAGCAACATGTTTGCTCCTCCCATTTTATGCATGCTTTGAGAGGTCATCCAAGTAGTACATTGAAACTGTTATGTTTCATTATTGAGACCTAATGTTTAACAAGCAACAAATTTGAAACACTTTTGTGTCAAGATGTATTTCATGTACCATTTAAGGGATTTCTGGGTAACTTAAATAAAAAAAGTAAAAAATTGACGATGTTTTCGGTGTTGCTTGGGTTACACGTTCAAATCGCGTTCAAGTCAGTTGAATACAACTGACTTGATCAATTGACTTGCCCTATCTAAACCCAGCTTTACCGTCAAGACGACATCGTCCGCAAAGCCAACGATCTCAACTTCTTTGGGCTACTTGAACGTCAGCACGCCATTGTTCATTCCGTTCCACAGCGTGGGATCTAGAATGGAGTCTTGTGGAACTTCCGCCGTGATTCTAAGCGATTCCTGCCCCGCCCTGTGTCTGTCTCGCAGACCAGGACCAGGTTCTGGAAGTAACTACTTAGAATCCTGCAGAGGTAGTCTGGCACCCTCATTATATGGAGCGCCTTGGCGATGGCCTCCCTGCTGGCGCTATTGAATGCATTCTTCACATCAATCGTAATCACAGCGTAGTATCGATTTCCTCTCCGCTTCTGTTTGGAAGCTTTCTCGGCTCTGTCAATCACTGTCCGAATTGCAACCACCGTCGATCTCCCTTTCCGGAATCCGAACTGCCTCTCCGACAATACGTGTTCACTCTCCGTGCACTTCGTCAGCCTGTTCAGGATGATC